GGATATTCACTGTGTAATAGTGTGTATTGGTTTGCTCGCTAGCGTGTGTGGACTGTGTGCATGCGTGCAGTGGTCAGCCCGATCGCGTCTGTCTCGCCATCTCTTGCATCATCTGGGTGGAAACGGGGTTTGTTATGGTGACAGTCTAAACACACACACACACTCACACACACACAAAATAAAAAAAAATAAAAAATAAAAAAATGCAGTGACACACATTCCTACACACACACACACACACACACAAAAAAAAAAAAAAAAAAAAAAACACGCATGCGTGTGTGCGTACACACGGCAGACACAAACACACACCTGCACGCCAGCATCGCACAGCCACCAGTCGGCAGCTCCAAAAGGGCCAGAAACAAGTTAAAAGTTGGCAGTGTAACAAAAAAAAAAAAAAAAAAAAAAAGAAGTGGCAGGGACATAGTGACACACATTCCTAATTGGGTTGCTGGGTTGGAATGCTATTGGATGATGATGGTGTTGGGGTGATGAATGGGCAACTGCACAAACAGAGCGGCAAGGGTCAATGGGATCTAAGTGTTACAATCCCCCTGCCGCCGGGGCCTTTAAGCCAAGTGTCGAGCCCTTATCGGAGGAAAGAACTTGTAGAGAGGGGTCATGCGAGCGCCAAGTACGGAGAGACAGGAACGGACCGAGATCCGCAATTGCTATGTCCTGGCTCCTGCAAAACCAGCAAAACCCGACCGGAACCTCAGGACTTTCACCTTGGCCTACCGACTCGAATGGCACCGCGGGGACACGCAAGCAGTCCGTGGGCCTATCCCTGTACGGGACCGCAGGACTATACTCTCTCGTCATCAGGCTACGGGGCTGGTTTGAGGGACAACGAGGCGAACCGGGTGAGGCCGGCGACTTCTGGCAGTGCACCGCCAGCTCCCCACTGGACCTCTCTTGTCAGTCCGATGGCGCCGGATCACAGTGGCGGTGTGCCATTTGCATCAAATCGCTGTGTTGATCGTGAGAACCCAGTCGGGCAGCGCAGTTATGATGGCGGAGAACCGAGCTCGGGTCGGGTGAATGCCGCGGCAGGGAAGCCATGCCCTGCCTCTGGTGGAGGGAGAGCAGACGATGCTCATACTTCTCGATCTCCTCATGAAGCTCAAGGCTCACTCATGCCGCAGAAGCAAATGGCAGATCCGAGGGTAGATGCTGTCGCTGCCCCGTGTCCTGAAAGTGCCTTGGGTCCGGCTTCCGCCAGACGTGGTTGGGATACCACCGCTCCGTCGCATTCTCATTCGCCGTGCGCAGCACCAACTACGAGTGGCAATCAGGATCGGGATGCGACTGCTATCTACCAGTCGCCTGGGCGAGGGCGCTATGAGCGGGATGCGACTGCTACCTACCAGTCGCCCGGGCGAGGCCGCCCCGAGCCAAAGTCCAATCCTCCGACTCCTTCTATAATGGCAGTGGGCGCCGCAAACAACACGTATAAGGCGAACGCCCCTGGAGCGCCCGGTGAAGCAGGTTATTCAGGGGCATTAGCGGAAACGATGTATTTGTCGGGCGGGACCACCAACGACAGGGCAGGACAAGGGCATTCTTGTGGTTGCCCTCAAGGGGGACCCCGGGGTGCGGGGGGTTCGGGAGCATTAGCGGACATGGGTTTTTCAGGGGGATTTGGGGAAACATATATGCAAGGAGGGGGGGGGACCACCAACAATAATCAAGGGTATCCCTCGCAGGAGCGGCCTTCACAGTTAATGTCCAATTTCGACGGAGCCTTAGGAGAAAGCTATTTGCCGGAAGGGACGCAAGAGGGAATGGCGATGACATCTCAGGAGAAAACTGCCGGCGGAAGCGAGAAAAGGGGATATGAAGAGAGTACGCGTGGTGAGGTTTCGCCCTGCGGAATAGACGAGACTGCCCAGGCCCTTCTGTGTGACTCGTGCATCAACAAGCGGCTGGTGAGTGCCACAAGGAGCCCTCAACTAAATTCTTGCAAATTCTGTTTAGTATTTATGTGAAAATATAAAATTATTTCTTCATTTCAGTTTGTTATTATTATATTATATGGAAAATAACTATATTAGTATATTGGTATTTTCAACTATTTTGTTTTTTTTTTCCCTTTGAAAAACTACACTATATGCTGTTGTCAAATTCTTTTTTTTTGCTTTTCACTACCTACCTACCACTACTCCTAAGCCTATATGTATTGAGGGGACCCCTGCAAGCATAGGTGCCTCACAAAAGGATTCATGTTGGCCCCTGCCCCATCACAGCACCGACATGTCAAAGAGACGAGCAGGATCACGATGAAGAGCAATAATAATAATAATAATAATAATAATAATAATAATAATAATAGTAATAATAATAATAATAATAAACAATAAGAAGAAGAAGAAGAAGAAGGAGAAGACACAAGTGGCACTGGGGACTTACACGCTAAAGAAGGACAGAAGAAGAAGAAGAAGAAGAAGAAGAAGAAGAAGAAGACATGAGAATGAAATTCAATGAAGAAATGAGATGGTGATACCTCACCAATAATTTCCTTGTGGTATCGATGCGGGTGAAGGCTTCGGGATTAAGAAAAGAAGAAGAAGAAGAAGAAGAAGAAGAAGAAGAAGCAGCTCATGCCTCGGTTGAAGTTGGTTCCTATACACCTCACTTGTGTCTTTGCATTGTTGAGGCCCTGAGGCCATGAAATTTATATTATTAATTAGTCTCACTTTATTAAAATGTATTTTTTTTTTTAATTTTTTCTTTTTTCTTTTTTGTCTTGCAGAAATCAGAGAAGATTGAAGCCGCAAAGAGGGAGAAGGAGGAGGATCGACAGAGGCGGCTGAAAATGTGTGAAGCCATGGAGCAGGCACAGAAGACGCTAGAGGTCGATGCCTGACAAAGCAAAGAAGAGAAGGAATGGAAATTATTTTGTCACCCATCAGATGCTTCTGTAAGAGGTTGATTGCATCTGTGAGCTTGTGG